AGATTATTTGCTTTCTTTCTTCAACATTGCGATAATCTCTTCAACGCAGGAAACGTTCTCATTCAACGAGTTTCGTCTGCATACAGCATACAGGGCAAAGTCAACAACATCGCTCCTGGTATCTACAAGATGTTTGTTTCGCCGACAAGGATTAGTCAGAGTTACAACTGGACGGCAACTGGTTCGTTGTTGCAGGTATGATGATAATTTGTTGTCATGTCCATCTCTTCTGCTGTCTACTTTGTTTCTTTCCCCTCTGTGTTTAGAATGGAAATTGTTTCATCCTGTCCTGCATTCATTCTTGTTTTATGTGCCCCTGACATCTTGGACTCAATCGTTTTCAATTCAAGTTGCAAGACTTCGATGCGAGCTTGACATTGTCGGAACTTTACGCCAACAAACAAGACGACGCCTCCTACACAGGTACTGTACATCTCCTTTCACATCATGATAGAATCAATCGAGTTCTCACTTTTCTCTTCGCAGTGAACAGAAGTTATACTTCTCAAGTGGGAGCAGATGTGTTCAGTTTGTATGGAAGCAACTCATACGTGGGTGGGACAGTCGCAATTGTTACTAACAACGAGGTGAATTGAATCTACAAAGCATCATTCACCAACTGATCGCAACTCCATCCTGCTCCTGCTCCTGCTCCTGCTCCTGCTCCTGCTCCTGCCTCCCCCCCACCATCATCTGCTCCTCCCTCGCCTCTCCCCCCCCCTCCCCCTCCGTCCATCTGCTCCCCTTCCCGCTCTCCTTCCCCCCCCTCAACCTCTTCCCCACTCTTCAACTCATCTGATTTTCTTCTTCAACTCTCTAGATGTTGGCTCAATGTCAGCTCGGCATATCAAGACCGAGCCCCAGTCAGATCAACGCAGTTGCCTCTCGTCCCTCCTCCTTCGCTTTCTGTCAACTCCAGCCCACACAGACCTCGTTGGCAAATCTCAGGTTATGCTCGTCCTCCTCCTCTGCTGCTGCTGCTCCTCCTCGCTGTGCTGCTGCTGCTGCTGCTCCTCCTCCTTCTCCTCCTCTGGATCCTCCTCCTGCCTCTGCCCGTGCTCCTGTTACAGCACCACCACATTCTTTTCCTCCATCCTCATCATCTTTCTCCTCCTCCCCTGGCTCCTTCCCCTCCCTCTTCCTCTCCTCACTTGCTTTCAGCGGTATCGTCCTTCTCCAGCAGGCGGAGAACAACCTCGTCATAGTCCGCGCAAGGATCTGCGGCTTACCTTCCAGCCTGACCGTCACTCTCAGCCTCAACGATTTCGGCGATCTCACAGACAAGCCTCAATCACTTGGGTCAAAAATTTCTCTCATTGGTGACATGTCATTCGACAACCTCGGGGTAACGATCACCTGTTCTGTATTGTGAATTATGCGTGTGTATCTGATACACGTCAAATTCCGATCAAGCTGAAGTGTGTGATATCACGTGTAGTATCATGTTTGCAGATTTAAGTTCACACCTGGTGTTTCGAACCTCAGACTGTCTCTTTGAAATCTTTTTGCTGAACTTGCCTGCAGTCTGGAAATCTCTTCAACCCCTCCTCCTCAGCTGTCTCCCTTGACGCAACTTCTCCTCTCTCAGCTATCGGACGGTCTTCCCCTCTCCTCCTCCATCTCACAGCAGATTGACCAGCTTGCAGGTCCATGAGCGTCTACGAGACTACCGACCTGACGCTGGTGGCAACTTGCGTGATCGGAAGAGATGAAGCGACGACGAGCGAAGAATTCATCCCTCCATGCACTCCTTGCACGTATGCTCTCAACCAGGAGGTAAGTTCCTTCACCTTGAACTACCAATCCCAACTCCACTCCCATGTCCTCCCTCTCCTGCTCCATCTCCTCCCCCTCACTCTTGTCTCTCTGCTCTGCTCTGCTCTGCTCTGCTCTGCTCTGCTCTCTTCAACCCAACTCAACTCTCATCTTCCCAGGACACCTTTGTCTCTGTCGCTACCATGTTCGGGGGTCAACTGGATGGACGTCTGGTCTCTCAATATCTTCTTGCACCCTGATCGCGCCCCCCCTGCGGGCACGAGCGTCTTCTATGCTCATCCTTACCAAGTGAGGAGAGCAGAGCAGAGCAGAGCAGAGCAGAGCAGAGC